TCAAGGAAGCCTTCATGATACGAAACCAATATTAGATCTAAACAAACAATATCATCTATATCGTCTTGTTAGAGATGTCCATTAGCCTATGGGAGGCTCTGAGAAGGATGCAGAAGAGAAACCTGTGTGTTTAAGCCATTGTTCCTCAAACTTCAGGGGCTATGAAGACTTCTTTTTTCCAGGTAATGCTTAAACAACTTTCGGCACACACATTTTTTTAAAAAGGATTATTTGTTGATTTATTTATTTGAGAAAGAGAGAGAATGAGAGAGAGAGCGAGAGCATGAGGATGAGCAGGGGGAGGAGCAGAGGGAGAGGGAGAAGCAGACCGCAGAGCCTGACATGGGGCTTGATCTCCCTGAGATCATGACCTGAGCCGAAATCAAGAGTCGGATGCATAACCGACTGAGCCACCCAGGCACCCTTTTAAGGCTTTTTATTAAAGCAATTTTGAAAATGTTAGTTTAGAGGAACAGAATCTGTTTTAGGGCATTTATTTATAGAGGCTATAACTGACTTCCCTGCCTCTGCTGTCCATAGCCAGAAAGGATCTGATGAAGTTGCAAGGGGAAGGGCCCCTGGAAACTTCTATAGATAAGATTTATAGGATATGAGTGGAATTCATGAAAACTTGACAAGTTTTCAAGTTTTGTTTGCTAACTAATCCTTTCTAGCCAGGACTGTATTGTCATCAATTCTAGGAAGGGCTTAGATTAAACAGATGGTCGTCTCTGGCTGGGCTGAGTATTTACTTTATAATCAGAAACGTTCTTTATATTCCCTGGCCTTATCAGGGTATCCTTAGTGCCCCAAGAACGCTGTCTTCTTTTATAATCATTTTTACAATAGTTTGTCCATATTTTATAAGGATTATGTCGTGGTTGGCCTGGTCACCTATAGATATAATCATGCCCAATGTCTATTAATGGTTCTTGTGTTTTCTTTTGCACAAAGACTGTACAGCCTGGAGAAAGCAAAAGATATATCCCACCTCTCACTTTGTAGATCTGTTTTAAATGATGTAGAAATTTACATTTTTTGAGCATCCTTTATTAGAAACCATGCTGTATGTTTTTTTTTTTTTTTTAAGATTTTATTTATTTATTTGACAGAGAGAGAGAGAGCGAGAGCGGGAACACAAGCAGGGGGAGTGGGAGAGGGAGAAGCAGGCTTCCCGCTGAGCAGGGAGCCCGATGTGGGGCTTGATCCCAGGACCCTGGGATCATGACCTGAGCCGAAGGCAGACGCTTAATGACTGAGCCACCCAGGCGCCCCATGCTGTATGTTTTATATATGTTTTCTAATTTTGACATCACAACCACCCCAGAAGGTAGGTGTTACTCTCATTTTACACGTAGGAAATGAGGCTCAGAAAGATCAAATTATCTGCCTGGAGTTAAGCAGCAAGTGACAACAAGGGATTTGAATTCTGGTCTGTTGACCCCAAGCCCACACTTTTAAAACACTGTGCATTGCTTCCTTAAAAGGGGAAAAAAATTACTAAAGATTAAATCTTGCAATACTAGAATTTAAAACATTTCAGGCAATTGAATCAAAGCTACATCGTTGCTTGGGTGACTGAGACAAGGCAATAATGCATCTTCAAATCCTATCAGCCAAAATTGAAAATTTTTCTAATAATCTCTTTGGCTTAGTTGGAAAAAAAAAAATCCCATTGTGGACTGTTCTGTAGCTAAAAGCTCCCTGTGTAGTCATTACTCACATGTCCACTACATTGTCATGGAGGCAGGGCTGAGTCTTCTCCCTTCTCTGACGGGGTGTTACTTGAGAAGTGCCTCTGCTTTTGGTCCTGCTCTAGGACAGATGGTGAGCACTGGCTGAGAATGTGTGTGCAAATGTGAGTGCTGGGCAGCTGGGAGACACCAACCTGTGCCCCCGGGGGAGCCTGTGAAAGACCAGCAAGCCTTTCGGGGCCTGTCTCAGAGGAACAGAACCATTACCAGCCGGAATTAGGGTTTCGGGGGCATAGATGCAAGGGAGATAAATGATTCTTATTTTGTTTTCAGGAGCTGTTTTTATATTCCAAGTATCTAGTGCAACCTCTGGCACATGGTGGATCCTCAATCAATATTTGTGGAATCGAAATTCAATTGCTCACATAGGCTTATTTCACAAAGTCTCAGCTAGTTTCCCGGGGACATTTGAAAATCATGTCTGACTGTTACTTGGAAAACCACTGGGGTTTCAATTTTGATTTTGATTTTATATTATCAAATAGCCACACATGAAAAAGTGGCTTTGTATTCAGACACAAGGAAGCATGAAGGGATCAGTGAGATTCTGAACCCAATGTTAATAAAAAGGGGCATGAAGACACTGTGTAGATACAAGGTTGTTCCTGGGCAACAAGAGTGGTGGTTTTTTTTCTCCTCTACTTCCAGATAGGTTTAGGAGACTCAGTTGTCCTGCCTGAACTGCTCTATTGTTCTTGCTGGTTTCCAGTCCTGAAATCTGCAAGACCATATTTTTCACAGGTACTTATTGAATGAAGTTGGCTTTGTCTTTACAACCTAATCCACTGTACCTCATTCTCATGTATGAGTTTGAGAAATGTGAAACAGAAAAGTATCAGGACTCAGAGGAAGTGTAGAGTTGAATGGTGGGAGAAAGAGAGCCCTCTTTCCCTAACTTGGGATTAACTAGCAAGTGAGGCCTTCATGGACAGGGCTGTTCCTGTAGCCCCAAGTAGAATGAGTCACAAGGAGACCATGTCTGTATCTGTGCATTTTTCCCTTGACAGTTTCCTCTCCTGAGCAGTGGGCCTTTTTTGTTGAATCTGATTGGTTTGCTGGTAACATGTTACCTGGTGAGAATCAGTATATTTTCATACTTTGATGTTTTTAAGAAATTATCTTTATTTTCAGTTGTTCATCGAGACATGCCAATGGATATTTAGGCCACATTTTGAGCAAAACTCACAAGTTGTTTTTTTTTTTTTCTGTCCAAATCTCACATGTGTACACAAAACAACACAATTTTAAGGGTTTGCTTAAAAGAACAAAGCATAAGAAATACAGTGAGACACAAGCTCAGAGCCAAATTCAAATCAGTGAGCCGATCTGATTCAACATGAGAAAAGATTACAAAACAAGTCTATGTTTTGTAGGAAGCACTATCTGAAGACAGTGTCGCTGGACATGCTCCAAATGCCTTTGTTGGGAAGCCTTAAGCAGGTGGAAACAGAGCGGGATTTTTCCTCAGCCTAGAGGAGTTATGGGTAGGTCAGGGCTTCAAGAATGAGTTTCTGACTATTCACGGATGCTGTTAAAGGAGAAGCAGGCTTTGACGATCAGGCCTGGCAGTGATATATATTTTCTCTCTCTTCATTTGATCTGAACTCTATTTTGCTTACTAAAAATAGCCCTTTGATTCCTTTCTTCTCAAGTAATGACAGAATTAAACTTGGTAAGTCAACTATTGGTGGTCCGTGGGCCAGGAGGAGACTATAAAGATAAAACCCATGGATGATCCAACAGCTGTGTCTTAACTAGCAACTGAGCTCCTCTATTGAAAGGAAGCCACTAGTAGGCAGGGAAAAAAAAAGTTTTCACATTCTCTTTCTTTCTTTCTTTTTTTTTGCCAAAAAGCAAAGAACTCAAGAAAACTCCAGATGGTTGAAAGGACAAAAATGCATCTAGTTTATGCATCGTGTCTCTTTTTACTTCAAATTTTGATTGTACTAGTAGCTGCTTCCTAGTTGGGTATTTGGTGGTTTTCTTTGTGAGCTCTTCTTCAAGACCTAAATGTAACATAGACTTTTGGCCTACGAACTTGGAACTACTAAAAATGCCTCCAATCTTACTTATTTAAGTTACAATATAAATATCATTTAAACAAAGTCCATTTGTTAAACCCGAGGCAGAGGCCCCATTCACTAAAATAGCATCTTCCCTTTTCTCCACTGTATCATCCTTGACAATTGCTTTCCTTCATTTGATCTCATGAACGTTAAACACAGACCACTCAAACGCTCTTCTCCGCATCATCAGACCAAAGTAAGAGAGATTTGGAAGCGGGAATACATTCAACATTTTCTCTTTTGGGGCTTCACCAAGCTGAGAGCTTCAGAGGATTAAAGCAATAAAGAATCATGTGTCAGTTCATAGTTATTACAGAGAAAAAAAAGTGTTAAGATTTCACAACTTCTCTCTTACCCATATCAACAATTTCAACTTATCAGCCACCTATTTCATGAGGTTTTCACACTTTCTCTAGTACCATCTGACAATCTCTCCTACTTTAATGAAAATGTAACCAACTTTCCAAAATTTCCCCTAAACCTTCACTCGGCAAACCTTAGTCTCTCTACAGAAACTTATTACAAACCCATCAAGTTTCTAACATTTAATTTGTACGTTAGGAAGGGAGAAAACCCACAAGAGTTGCATGTAGAAAACGAGAGTTCGGTGTCACTTTGTCAGCTTGCGAAACGCTCGATAGTGGCAGAAATGATCAGATTATCATTCTGCCACTACAATGTTATTTAAGGTAAGAAGAAAGGGACATGCCAATTTTCATGTAACATTACTTATGCTAGAACTTTTAAGGAAAAGGTTGAATGCATGGAGTTTAGTCACTAGAGAAGGATGCTATAACAAACTGATTTTCCGACCAAGAGTCTGCAGAAAAAACGGCAACCAGATTCCAAGGTGACTCTGTTAGCTAGAACCATAACGAACCACGATGACCTGCCAGGAAGGTAAATTCGGTCGAAAAACCGAAATGTTTTCTTGACTTAAATAATGTTAACTTCAGCTAAATAACTGAGTAGTTGTTCACACGAAATTAAGGAAAAAGAAAAATCCAGTTACTATTAACGCCAAAGAAATGCACGCCAACCATAAACCAAAGGTGCTTTGGTACTGTAGCCATAACAGACAAATGTGTGATGGGAGAGCAGGGAGTTCCCTGATGGGTAGATGACAGGATCATAGGAAGTTTGTGAGACCGGCCGTGTCTCCTGCGAGGTTGACACACCGCCACGGTCCAAGACAAGAGTCACATAAACACGAGCTTATCAGCTGGCTTGTTAAAACTGAGTGTGCAACATTGCCGCTGAGTTGAAAAGTGACTTCAGGCTTGTTGAAAGGTCTCATTAATCTGAGGAAACGATGCTTGGTGCCATAGATGAAACACTATGGTCTCAAGCGGAATGCGTGTGAAGTTTCCAGAATATTTCCTCAAAGACTTTAGTCAGTTTTGGTTTGTGACCTTAGCTGGAAAGCGCAAAGACGGGCATGGGAAGGCAGTTCAGAAGGATATCTGTTGAGGATTTAAGTCGGGCAGCTTTCAGAAGATGAAAGATGTTTAAAGTTAAGGCCTTTATCTGCAAACAATAGTATATTAATAAACTCTATACCAGATTTACAAACGCATTCTCTTGTATTAAAACTAACAGTATTCTGTTCACAGTGCCATTGTTTATACAGGTAGCAATCCCATAATACTCATGTATTTTGGCATGGGAATCAGTAGCGCTGGGTATTTACAGAAAATGTACACGTGTGCATATAAACATGTCACGGAATCTGAGTTATTGATAAAAGACAGATCGGCTAATGGTGCAAAGGAATGAACTGTACAGCACCTTCCCCTCGGATCGGATAGGAAACGTGGTTTCTTAAATTGAGCAGACGCCAAATCTCTGACCCAAAGTGGCATCAAGTCAGTAACAAAACAATGAACCCCCTGTTCAAGTTTGGGTACACTGAGTAATCTTAGTCCCAAGTTTTAGATCCATTGTCTAGTGCATAAAATAGAAAAGTTAAAAAGATCTATTATTATTTTTATAATAATAATTATTATTAAAATAGAAGGTCCTTTCTCACGTTCTCATTTGTGCTCTGGCATCTAAGACCCATCTCCTGGGAGTTCCGAGTATGCTGGTGTTTTTGTCATGCAGATCAGCAGTCAGATGGCAAATGCTAAAAACACTCTAGACTTAGCCACTGTCGCCTGTCACAGTGTGACCCAGGGCCCGAGGGGGACATGGTAGGAGCACCTCTTTCTTACTCCCCAGTCTTCTCGTTGAGGGGCGAACCTGCCTCACCCCACCCCCCAGAATTGGCTCCCACGTTCCTGAATGGAGTTGCTTATTTCGGCAGCGAATGCTGAAGTGACGGATGGCTTCTGTACACTTGGAAAAAGGAGAGGAGGCAGGTGAGTAGGAGGAGGGTGGCCTTGCAGAGAGCCCCAGGGACGACACCCAGCACGTGGCTGGGCTGGTCGCCGAGACACACCCCCCCGCCCAGAGCTGCCACCCCCTCAGGAGGCCTCTGCTTGAGGAGGTTCTCCTTAGGTCTGTGTGGAGCAGGGGCAGCGGGGCTGGGACTACGGGGCGTCGCCTTTGGTCCCAGTCTGCTCCTGGTTCTCAGTCCCTGGGCCTGTGTGCTCCGCGCCGCCGCTTCGGTGCTGCTTGGGCAACAGGCTCTTCCACTGGGCTTTGTTGTGGGAGAGATGGCGTAGCATGCTCTCAGATAGGGCGCTGTGGCCTGTGAAACGGGCCCACTCCCGGAAAAGTGGCTCCACGATGTAGGTCATGAAACCTAGAACAGGCAAGGCCAAGTTCAGCCCCGTGAAGGCGATACAACCCCCGCCTTCCTCCCTCCCAGACCCAGGTGGGACCCTGCTCTGTGCCCAACCCAGAGATACAGAGGCAAAAGATGACTCGCTCCCCGACCCTTCGGTTTAGGAGCACCAGGTGTGTCACCTTGGGCTTGTTTCTTAACCCCTCGGGCCTCAGTTTCCTCATTTGTAAAAAGGAGCTAGGAAGAGTCCCAAACCCATAGGGTTGTTAGGACAATGAAATGACTTGAGGCAGGTGAAATGCTCAGAAAGCTCCTGGCACCTAGTAAACCTTCAAATACATGTTGTCTGTTATTATTTGCTGAGGGAGAAAGACATTTGAACAGAAAGCTAGGAAAAAGTCTGTGTGGGAGCTGAGGTGGGGGTGGGGGAGGGGAGGAGAGGGTGAATGATGTCAGGAAGGGGCACATCGTTGTTTAGACCCATCTGGAGAATTCATATGTTTATCCTGTAGGATATTTTTTCAAGAGTATTGATCCATGGCTTTGTCTTACTCTCAATTATGTTAAGCAACTAAATGTAGGTCAAGTTCACTCATCTTCAATATGGATTTTTACCGGCATAAAATCCCTATGTTAATGACCAGATAAGATTGGTTGATATTAGATATGTCTGTTCTCTTAATTAGTTTAGACTCCTTGCATTCTAATCATATTTCAATGTTAGGGTGCTTTCCATATTAAATATGATTTATTAAAGCCAAGATGACTTTCAGTCTAGGCTGGGATGATTGGAATCATCACAAACTTGGACATACTTAGGTTTTATTGAAATGTAGGTGTGGGGAGAAAAGGCAAGTGTTTTTTTAGCATAACGAATTTTCCACCAACTGACACTTTATGTTTACAAGGCTGTGAATTATAAGGCTTGATTTGATTATCTTTTTATTGAACAAACAGCAGATGCTTGGCTTTTGAGGATGCTACAGAGATGGAAAAAGGATGCAGGAATGCAAAATGTTATTTCACATTTCTGCATTATCTCATCATATGTGAAATATGATTTAAGTATTATGAGATCATTTTAGCTCACCCAAACCTAAGGAGGAAATTTTAAGCCAACGATAAGGTTATATAGGGAGTCAGCAAGTAAGGATTTCCTTGAATTTTCTTGTTTGCTATTCCCGAATTTTCTTTACTACCTCCATAACCTCCATATCTAATTTCTAATATCCTTCACCGTAAGAGAGATTTGATATTAGAAAGACAGTTCACAAAATTATACTATTCTCAAGTTTAAAGTGTAAATATTTATCAAGTTTACCTTAATATAAAAAAGCTACAAATCCAACATTCAAAAATCTGGTACTTAAAAATCAACTCATTTTCTTCCTGACGTTACTAGGGGATTATCCCTCCGTATTTCTACTTGTCCGATATAAAGACCTCTCATAGTAGATTAGGAAAGGCCCATTTTGAAGTCTGAATAGACGTCAGGAGGTACTTTTTCAAATGAAAGTGTCTTCTTCATGATCACATTTGGGAAACTGTTCTCCGTTCCCAGTGCATTGTGTCAAGCTCCCTCTTCTATGCAAGCGACCATGGACTGACTGCCTGGATTTTGTCCTCCTGCAGGGCTGGGAGTGGGGGAAGGGAGACATGGTGGCCTCAGAGCAAACAGGGATTGAAGGCAAGCCTCTTTCTCCTCCTCCTACAGCTTTCACCAATTAGAGGTTCATTCCATCTAATACCTTCTTTCTAAAATGCAGAATTTGGTGGAGAGAGGGAAAGGGATTTTATTTTATTTTTTAAAGATTTTATTTATTTGACAGAGAGAGACACAGCGAGAGAGGGAACACAAGCAGGGGGAGTGGGAGAGGGAGAAGCAGGCTTCCTGCTGAGCAGGGAGCCCAATGCGGGGCTCGATCCCAGGACCCTGGGATCCTGACCTGAGCCGAAGACAGATGCTTAACGATTGAGCCACCCAGGCGCTCGGGAAAGGGATTTTAAATCCCACTTCCACTTGGGTGAAAGTGAATGACTTAAACAGAAAATCAGATCTAAACCTGAGATGGCACGTGGGCAAATTCTCACTGTGGATTGGGACAGGAAAAGGAGAGGGGACAGTTTCAGCCCCAGGAGAATCAGGGCAGAGGAAATAGCTGCTTTACTTAAGACCCGCTGGCAAAATCCTCGTCTGGGAGGCTGAAGCCTGCAGCTCCCATCAGACTCTGTCTATCTTTGGATTTTTCCAGTTTAGCCTGATCTACCCCTTCACACCACACCTCCTAACCCTGACCTTACAGAGCCCGGAGACGTGGAACAGAGACTGAGAAAGATTTATGTACGAAGGGTTGTTTTATCATCACCTTCTCTCTCTCTTTATTATTGGTGTGCTGGTGTAGCATCCCTGAGACTTTCCTATTCACTCAATCCCCACCCCATTTTAAAAACAGGTATCTATGGTAACCACATTTTCCTGTGCTGAAAACCAGGACATATGATCTGACAAAATAAATGTGTTCTCATAACAACAACAGGGTAGAATCTCTAAAATCAGGGCTCTCTTGCAAATCCAGGTTGTGTGCTTCACAATGTGAATGCTTTTCACAAAAAGTCTTTAACAGGAGCCTGGCAAATTTCTTTCTAACCAGAGCTTAACAAATAGGGCCCCAGGGTTGGGATTTTGGTCAGGGTCTATTCCTTTTAAATCGTATCTGCAGAACCTCCATAACTAAAGCAACCTGAGAGGGGGGATTGGCTCCAAGGATACCAAGTCTGAGTTTCTGTTGATGGTGCTCCCCTCCCCACACTGTCCCAGGGATTCTGTAGCTATGTCATCACCCTGGATTCTTCCTGGTTGTTTTTTTAAATTTAATTATTATTTTTTTTTTATAACACTCCCACCTTTTCCTTTTTTGGGTGGAAGAATCAGTTTAATTGTAAAAACAACCTAACAATACTAAGGGCAATTTGGAAAAAAATGGATCACCAATAATTCCATAATTTCTACATATGTATTTTAATATTTGCATACGTTATTCAAATCTTTGTAACTAGATTAATTTTGTTTCTATTTCCTGAGGATGACTATGACTCTTTTGTGGATTAGATTTGACTCCTAGTGATTATAGGCATACTATTATTTGACTAACTTGCTCTGGTTTTCTTAATTTTCAGCTTATTTTTTTCTGATGCCCCATTCCCTCCCAAGTAGGGGCTTTAAGCCTTGAGCCTTGCAGAGGGCTGCACCCTGTGAATGCATTAAGCTCTCTGAGGTCTGTGGGAGCTGGTACATGTCAGGGCTAGTTTATGAGTAAGAGAGTTTAACTTTGTTTTTTTTTAAAGATTTTATTTATTTATTTGACAGAGAGAGAGAGACACAGCAGAGCAGGAACACAAGCAGGGGGAGTGGGAGAGGGAGGAGCAGGTTACCCGCTGAGCAGGGAGCCCGATGTGGGACTCGATTCCAGGACCCTGGGATCATGACCTGAGCCGAAGGCAGACGCTTAACGACTGAGCCACCCAGGAGCCCGAGAGTTTAACTTCCAAGTTTGGTTTAACTGGAAGGAACTGCAAGGATGAAGGACTTGCCTTAAATGTAGATGGAATTGGTAGAGTGTTTTAAGAACTGATAGAAATTCTTACTGGATCAAAAATAATTTCCTATGTGCCTGAAATTTCCACCATTTGATTTGTTTATGCATAAAAATGCATAACTTAAAGTAATAATTATTTTAGATGCATTAGCATCACAGGTGAACAGTTTACTGCAATTGATTCTTGAGAATAAGACTGAAAATAATTTTGAAGTGGAGAGTAGAGAAGCATGGGACCCTGGGCCACAAGCAATAACATGGTTTGCAGAGGATGGGCCCTTGGGATTACGCTGGGGATGAAGGATAGTGGGGCAGATTGGAAAGGTCCTCAAGGTTGATTATGCTGACTTCCTACTTATCAAGTTCTAAACAGTGTGAACTAATCTGTTCTTCAGCAGCAAATAGTTGGTTCTCATGACTTTCCTTCTACTCGATTTGGTTTTGATTCGATTCTGAACTACAAAGTTAATAGAGGCTAGTTAAGGGTCTGACACAAAGCCTTTACTCCATTTTTCGTAGTTTCTCAGTTGGAAATTACCCAGTAGATCAGTCATGATTAGAGGGTGTATTTGGACTCAGCCATTCATTAAACCTCCAGTTTGGATTTTTCAAAGGCTGCGTGGAGATTTTCTTTTCTTTGTGACTCTGGCAGAGGTACCAAAAGTATTTATTTAAAATTAAAACTGAAAAAAAAAATTAGAACTGAATTCAACTCACCAATTTGTATGCTAGGGATCGAATCTTTCTGTTGATTACAAAGCGGACTGATTTCCAGTTCAAATTTCTGTTCAAGGTCACCTAAGAAGAAAGAAGAAGAAACACTGGTAATCTAGAATTTGTAAAAATGAGAGTTGTTAGCTTTAGTGATCTAGTTCAAAGAAGTTATTCTGGGAATTAACGTTTGCTGCCTGTTACCATTAGGAGCTCCCTAGCACCCGCTTGCTCTGGTAGCTTCTGAAAATTTAAAATATCAGAGTGTCAAGGACCATTTACAATAGACTCATTGTAAATAGGTATGCTCTGGGGCTAGAATAAACTTTTGACCAAGATCTATAAAAACAAGGATACAAGTAATGAGCAATTTCCTACATGAAATAGAAGTTCTGGCTTTAAGTTATAGGTTAAGAGAACAGATTTTGTGCTCCCCCAGCCTTTCCCCCTGCCTGAGCCTAGTCTGATTTCCTCTGAACAACCAGGAATAGTGAGTAGGCAGGAAATGGGTGGGGGTGAGGGACTAGAAAATCTCACTTGAGGAACATCTCCGTCTATAGCTACAATATTAAGCAGAAATAAAGATTATCACCTTTAATCCGACTCAGTGTCACCTTGTGTAACTAAAGTTGAAAAAAGTATAAAATTCAGAAAAATATTCTTTTCAATGCCTTTGCCAGCTAGAAGACCAAAGGTGAAATGTACCATGTAAAGCTTTATCAGAATACTTTATCAATCCTTTGGGGGCTGAAAGATTATGGGTAAATTTTGTGTTGGGAAAACCAGTCTGGTTAATCAGTAGAGGAGCTGGTCCTCGGAAGCATTAGCTGAGTTCACAGTTGTGAATGGACACCTCTAAACGAGAGGAGATCCAAATACACCATTTATATCGTGCTTAGTGTGTGCCAGGCACTATTCTAAGCATTTTACATATGTTAATTAATTTCATCCTCATAACAACTTCATTGTAGTACCCATATTACAGATGAAGAAACTGAGATGAAGGGAAGTATTTTGACCCAAGTTGTCACATTACTAGTAAAGGGGAGAGCCTAGATTCCAACCTAAAAGTCTGGCTCCAAAGTGTCTGCACTTAACAGCTGAGCTAGAACCTAAGAGATGCCACACCTCTGTCATTTGTTTTAAGCCTGTAGTGATGCTTCCCGTGGTCCCTTGGGCCCTGGTTATTCTCAAGACTGAGGTAAGGAAATCAGTCTGGCTTAACCTGAGGAACCCAGGGAAGCCAGATGATAATAGCCTCCTGAGGATAGGGCATGATGCCATTTAATATTAAAATGAGTTTGGGGCGCCTAGGTGGCTCAGTCGTCATTAAGCGTCTGCCTTCAGCTCAGGTCATGATTCTGGGGTCCTGGGATCAAGCCCCCGCATTGGGCTCCCTGCTCCGCGGGAAGCCTGCTTCTCCCTCTCCCACTCCCCCTGCTTGTGTTCCTGCTCTCACTGTCTCTCTCTCTCTGTCAAATAAATAAATAAAATCTTAAAAAAAAAATAAAAAAAATAAAATGAGTTCTAATATTAAAATGAGTTCTACTCCTTACTTCCATAATTCTATTCATCGTGATTTTTCAGTCAGGCTTGACACTTGGGAGGAATCATCTTTGATTTCTCCCTTCCCTTCACCCTCCATATTGAGGCATCAAATCCTGTTTATTCCTCTTTTGGGATATCTTTTTTCCCCAATTCACACTCTGCCTGACTCTATTCTGGCTTATTAATAACTCACTTTTAGTGTTTGCTTCTTAGCTAGTTTTCTTCCTTCAGTATTTCTTCTACTTCGAATATATGTGTTGCCTCAATTGCACTTTCTAAGATGACTCTCACTGTCATGTTCTCTACTTGAGCCTGGTTAGTGTACAAATCCACAAATCCCCACATTCTTGCTTTCTATGGGTCCGGGTTGCTATATGAAGCAGGTCCCCATTTCAATACCTTTGTCCATGTCTATCCCTTCGTAGGCAGACCAACAGCATCCAACAGGACTCTCGGCAATGATGGAAATGTACTCTGCATTGCCCAACATAGGGGCTTTTTGCAGTATGATCAATAAAACTGAGGAACTAAAATTTGAATTTAATTAAATTTAATTATTTTAAATTTAACTAGTCACATATGCTTCATGGCTCTCCTATTGGAAAATACAGGACACTAACTGCACATCCTCCCACACATCCAGTTCAGAGTCTATGTCCTCAGTATCAATCTCCTGTGACCTCCACTGAGAGGTCATCCAGTTAGATCAGTTATTCATTCAACATAGACTTATAAAGAGCTGTACATTTCAGATTCTCTGTTAATCACTGTAGAGAATACAAAGAGGAAAGTTGCATCATTTTGCTCCTCCAGGAAATTTACTGTGTAGTATCTTGAGGTTATGAACCATTAAACTATACTTCTTGGTATCCTTCCCGACCCCTCCGTGGGGCTTTGTACATAGGGAAATTAACAGTTGTGCTAAGGTTTAGACAAAGCTGGAAGCAGATGTTCAATAGAAACTCTTGGGAATCTCAGCTGATTGAGAAGTTATCAATTGGTGGTTTTAACAGGACAGAGATTCTACTTCCTTAAAACATGGAGAGGAGGGAGTTGAATGATGTTCAGAATCCTAATTTCTGTTCTCAGAATGTAATGCTATTTTCCTAATTCATGGGACGTCATCTTCCTTCCCCCCTAAGTCCTCAACCTTGATTTTAAAAGTTTTCGTTTGCTCAGCATCATGAACAATTAAAGATGCTTGGGCTAAGACTATGAGTAGTCTGTGGAAACCCAAATCCTAAACTGAGAGCCAGAATAAGATTGATCAAAATGATACAAATGATGCTTATCGAATTACAAAAATTAATTCCCTAAAGAGGATAGGCAGTTTGGATGACCAGAGAGTCCAGTCTTTCTTTCTCCTTTTAAACAGGTAGAACTTCTGGTTGACCATAATGCTATTAAATTAAAAAGGACCGGACATACCCTCTCTGGATTCCTTTCTCTGCCAGGAGACACACCAGAGCAAAGTGCATGGAAGCTCACCTTTTGTGGTCAGAGTTACACGTGTTCTAGTTTGTTCTATCTTATAACACTGCATGCGCATATATTGTTAGGACAACAACGGGTTTTGGTAAAGAGATCTTATGGATTCCCTTTCTTGGTCGGTCCCATTTACTCCATGTAGTTAATAACTTCAATTCCCCAGCTCCGTGGGCCTTTACTATCTGCCCAAGTGACATGGCCCCCTGCCTCAAGTTGCTCATCATCTAAATAGGAGGTAAGATGAGCAAAGGAAAGGGTTAAATGGCAATCAGTGCCAACAGGAGCGGACGACTGAGTCAAAACCAAGAGGGACAGAGGAGAATCTCTTTTCTGCCCCATCATTTGATTTCCAAGCATGAGGATCTTAGTCCTTCTTTCATATTGCTATTTCAATATTTTCTATATCACAGAGTAAATACTTGTCTGATTTAAGCCTCCTGTTCCAATTTCATCATATTTCCTTTTGTTTTCTCTTGGTGGAGATTTTATATCATAGGCCACAAGAGAACTGATTTTGACTTCTAGCCACTCACACTCAATCGAAGTGAAGTCACACAGGGTTGTGGGCACTCTATGAGCGCATTTCCCCTGAGCGAAAGAGATGGTGAGCAGAGCCTTCTGGCCCCACGTGAACCCAACCCCTTCTGCTTTGTCTTCTGTCTTTGGGACCATCTCAATGACACTGGCACATCTTTTGATGGAAGCTTCTCCAAAAGGCTCACTGTTGCTACTTGACCTCTCCACAGAGCTGGTATGTGGGACACTTCAGGCTTTATTTGTTCTCAGCCTCTCAAACCTGATCCTGTCGCTAACATCAGGGCACTGTTGTGCCTGAACAAACATCCTGAGCACTGAAACCAGGCCTGAAGAAACAAGGTTGTGTTTAAAGGCCGATATCCCACCCAGCGTCAAGATCCTGTTCGCTAATTCATAGCCTTATTTCTGAATGAGGTTAATCTCTTAAAAATTATCCCTGAACTTGAGGCCATTTCTCTTCTCCCTGAATATGTTTGAGAGGACGAGCTCAATTCTTGGTCAGCTGTGCTCGGTTTCATTATTAACTTTGTTTAAGGAAGCCAGGGGAAGGAATACAGAAGGAGTCTAAGTCCCTTCAGAGCTGAAAACATTGACCCCAAACGGCATTTCGCCTTTAGGCTGTGTTAAGCTCTTTAAAACGAAGGTCAGAGTAAAAATCAAGCTGTCCCTCACGTTCTTATATCCACAGAGGAAAGCCATTAAAAAAATTATATATACATACATATAAATATATACACACACATACATTTATTTCCCACTTTTGCTCATTTTTATTACACCTCTTGACTACCTGTTTTCATAGTAAGACAGTGTTATTTATTTTTAAATTATTTCCAAAAAAGGGCCAGATGGTTTGCAAGAGAGTCAAAGAGAAAGGTTAGGAAAGAGTTGATGAAAGAACAAATGTCATGATAGATTAGCCATTTCCTGTTTGATCAGGATAAACGTCCAACAGGAGGGGGGGCGGGGAAAACTCAGCTGTCAGATCACTACTAACCTTGCCTGTAGAATTCTTCACAGACTCTCTCACTCCATTGCTTGCTCATCTCCCAGATTCTGCAAGGATTGCAAATGTCGGCACACTTCAAGGCAATCTGAGAAATGACAGGGCGGGGAGAGATGGTCGGAGGATGACCCTCAGCAGCAAATGCACCCTACGCCCAGGGGCCCGTCCCACCCTCCAGGGTGCCTCATGGTCCCGAGCCCGTATTTACAGAGCACCTCTTCAGGAAACAGCCCTTCTTCACCACCACACAAAACCTTCATTCAGAATTCCCACTTTATAGCTTTGAGAAGGAGAGAAGAGCCACCGTCCAAGGACACGGAGCTTTCTGGAGGAGGCTTGGGGTGGGGTGGCCAAAGAAAGCAGGCGGCCTGGCTCCTTCTCCTGCCCCACCCCTTGAGAGCAGGGAAGCCGCAGGGGCCCCAGCCAGGTTCCAGTGAGATCATCTGGACCTCCCCCTCACAGTGGCCACACTGACACACTCCATGTGTCCCTTCACTTCTGCGTGCGCTCTCGTGCCTGTGTCCGCGTGTCCTAAGCAAGCCCCGACTGCCAGCCAGGGAGCTCGGTCCTATCAAACCTTGGAGCCTGTTGTTCGCAAAGCTCATTTAAGGCTTACCTCACACTGGTCTGGATCTGGGATGCTGACTCTAAGAGGGTTACCTTGAATTCCCAGAAAAGTAGATTCTCTCCCTTAACCACTGCCCGCTGAGATGGGCCCCTGCTAGTGCGCCCTGCCCACCAACAAAGTCTATCTGTTTTGACGCGGTTCCTTGACATCACAGAATCGCTGACCGTGCTGGCGTCTGGGAAAGCCCCGATCATATTAAAGTTACCAATTCGATTGTTGAGGGGGACACCAGTCCGGACGGAGAAGGTGAGGGGCAGAAGTCGCCTCCAGGCTCTGCCCTCCGGGAATTCATTTGCGTTAGCAAGCTTTCCTTTTGAAATGCAAGTGTGCCGGCCAATTCTTTCAGCTACTCCCAACCAAGCTGGAGTCGTGAGCACCAGATACCTTGATCTTTGTGGCACCCAGGGACCGAACACGAGTTTGGAAAGAAAAGAAGGACGGAGACCTAGTTCTACAGCTGGGAGGAAGGCATTTCCTCGGAAGGATGGAGTACTGGGGACAGCCACAGAGGGCAGCAGGAAAGCATGGAACAAAACCACTGTCCAGTTCAGTCCACTATGTGCAGCGCCATTTCCCTGGGTAAAGTTGGTCTATCTAGATGAATCCAGGGTCCATCCATTCAGCCTTTTGTGCCAAAAGGAAAGAAGGAAGACAAGAGAAAATACAAGAAAAGGGCTCTCGTTTAGACACCAGCTCAGACCTCCACTCCTGGGGTCCACTCGTCTTCTTGTTCTCACGTCACAAAGGGCTTCTTGTCATGGGATGAAGCAGGAAGGGTCGCGCCTGACACAATTTAGCTCATTCAGTTAAACTTAACCTAATATATTGATTGGTGTCTAAAAATGGTAAGACTAGGTAAACATGTTTGTGAGTGATGAATTTAGGAATAAAAGGAAGTAAAGCAGGGTTTGATGAAACAGGGTTTATGTGAAGGAAGGCTACTTGGTTTTCAATTGTGTTCGTACTACAGTTAATATAATCTAGTTTTGTGTTACAGAAACAGTATTTCTAAATTGTACAGGTATCACAGTGGTCACTTTTACATTGAGCCACAAAACGTGGTAGGTTCTTCCCATGTACAATCGTCCCGCAGGGCTACTTTGTGGTTACGCAGCTACCGGTCAAGGAAAAGTGAGAGATTATCAACTTAATGACACGAAAACCAGATTTTGCTTGCTTGGAAACCACTTAAAAATTTCATGTGTCTCAGAGCTTTTCATAAGGTCGGTCATTGCTCTAACTTATCCCGTGGGGGATACTCCTTCTCACAGGTGCTAAAGTGACTGATCACATCCCGAAGAAGCATTTTTACTCAGCAAGGATGGCAGCCTTTGGGGTTGTTGTTGTTTACCTGAAGCATAAAATGCCTGTCGTGTACCTCCTCCAGTCTTAAATCTTTATTGTGGAGGTGCGTTTTCAATCTGGTCAGAAATTCATTCTGCCTGTTGATGTCTGTTGCCAAGATCAAGGAGCCCAGCTGCTGTTCAATATCCTGTCTGCATCCACAAGAGGGAAAGAGAAGACACACACACAAAGCAGATCCTTTTGAGGAGGGTGACTGATTCTGCCACCGTCAGGTGGCTTGTAATCTCATTTCTGCCTTTGATTCTGTTTGTCACCCAGAGTCCAGTCCCTCTGAGCCCAAGGGGGATTCTCTCAACCACGGTCACTTCTGTCTTTGGGCAGGAGGTGTGCTAATAACTGTACAGCGTGGCTGAAACCTTGAGTGAACAAAGTTGTGGTAGTTTACACATTCCGATGGTAACCATGGGTCTAAAACCTGAAATCGACTAGAAATGCATGCTTTAAGGGGGACACAAAAAGACTGATAGAATCGCAGGAGTTTGGGTTGTGCTCCAAAAGAGTTGAAACCAGCTCAAACATTCAGATTTGCATGGGGAGAGAAAGGGCATAATGATAGTACTAATAAGGAAGATAATAACAGTGACTATCCTATGGTATGGAAAGATACACCAATGGAACAAAACAGGCCCGGAAAGATACTGGAACTTAAAAAAGAATCATGGGTAGTTAAGACACCATTAAAAACCAGTGGGCAAGCAATATATTAGTCAACAAATGGTATAGGGAAAATGAGATATTTTGGAAAAATAAGCAAATTAGAGCTTTACCTCACACATAGAAGGTAATCAACAGAAGAAAAGATCCGTAACTATTTTTAAAAATTCATCTTTAAAAATTCAATATAGGGCAACCCTCTCAGGTCCCCCCCTCCTTGGGGGCCTTGTGCTATCACTTTGCTATCGCTCAATAAACCTTGCTTTGCTGCCCACCACAATAAATAAATAATAAAAATTCAATATATTTAGGTTTGTATGTAACATCTGCATTTAGCAGTCTATGTGAAGTTGATGGTCGCTTATGTTTGAACTCATTCTTTACTCCTCTGCGCCCCCCCATCTTCGGTATATGGTGTCAGACTTTATATCCTTTTGTTTTGTAGGGTGCATAGAGCACACAGAGTTGAATGAATAGGTATGAAGTAAATATCTGTCATCCCCAGCCAGGTCGAGAACATGAATACATAGGCAACTGCATACAAGGACTGACTCCTGCACCTGCCCCCATATCCCTTTTCGAATTATTGCATAACAATTATTCTTCCTACAAATGCGATTTATAACCCTGCATCCCACAAAGGCATAACACACATGGCATTTTTATCTGGAATCCAGAGGGGTGAGGAGGCATATCTCAGGAAATGAATATAGCTGAGCAACCAGCAGGATTAAGGCGGGTGAGACAAGTCTGGTCCCGAGTCCTTCCCTCCTTTCTTCCTTTAGTTTTGTTCTTTCCTGTCTGCTCTCTCTCCTTCTCTCCCTTCCCTCCTTTCTTTCTTTAGCTGTCCCTGCCACTTACCCCGTCCCTTCTTCTCCTTCTTACTTGATTTCTTACTCCAGTTTTTAGTTCTTTTGCATTTAGTTCTTTGGATCTTTCCAACTGTTCTAGCAAAAGGCACAGGTTTTTATGCCGTGTGTGATGATTGGTTTTACTTCATTCCAGGAGGTAAAAAGCTATCAGATTTAAAATTCTTTCTGCAAATGCCGCATTCCTCTGGGCTCTAGGGAACGGCACCGGGCAGTAGCACAGGGCCGGGAGTAAACACAGGAGCCCAGAGCACACTGCCTGTTCCACAGAGATGCGGCTCAGCGCTGCACTCTTAAGTTATGCAGCCTTCAGAAAGAAGGGTGCAGGGATTTATCTATCTACTCTCCTCTAGCTATCCTGGGCTCTGCGTGTTTAATTTAACAGGTCAGAATTAGTGGCAGCCTTGAAAGATGTTACAGCAGTTAACTCAGGACCATGTGGAAAATGAGGTCCTGGCCTTGGATTTAGTAGGACTCGGCCTAAATACCTGGGCTAACAAACAGTGGACGAGGAAACTGGTATCTCCCTTTCTGTTTCAAATGCAAGAGACATAGGTAAATTAATGGCCAAAAAAACGGCCGGGGCCAATTCAGTTACTTTAACAAAAGACAGTTCAGGAAAGAACTTCTGTCTTCTATTTTTGCTAAGACTGGCCATTACAAAACAAACTTTATTGAACTGGTCTTAAATCTAGCTTGAGATCTCCTGTGTTCCTTCTTGATAAATATTTATTATTGGATCTTCGTGGGAGGACAATGTTGCTAACATAAAAGACAGGAATTGGACAAAGCCGAGCATTGATGCTGAAGAGTGTGAAAGCTGAGAGTTGTTTATTATCCTTCTTCCTGATGTTAGGTCATAGACTACGCAAGGGCCTTTCAAAGCTCACGGAGAGATTCGGATTCTGGGTTGCTGTAACTGACACCTGATCGACAACCAGGCGCAGGCAGGAAGCACAGCCGGCTGGCTCCCTGCCATTAACCCTGGGGTCTCCAGCATGCCCTGGAGAAAGCAGCTGATCTCTAAGGTGTGGACATCAGTACGTTTCAGCTCTACACCGCTTACGTCATTTCCTCTGGCAAGTGAGCAAGAAGCCTTGATTCTCGAAGCATGCCGATTGTCGATCGCCAGTGGTGATTCTCCAGCACAGACATATTCTAGAAAGAAAGAATAAAGCTATAAATGAGAGCGACGTCAGAGTCTGATCTTTCACGCTGCACACAGTTTCCCTGAGGCCAGTATTTTCCCTCCAGCCAGTCTATACCTGGTGACAAAGGGGCAGATGAGAAAGGAAACATGAAATAAAACCACCCCAGGCTTATAATGATGGTGGGATAGCGTCGGGGTAGTGGCAGGGCTGGCCCTTGCTGACCCTCCCCTGGTGGGTCATTCTCTCTTGCCCCTGTCTCCATTTTTGGTAGCTCAGTCAGGCAGCACTCAGTGTAGAAGAAAACAAGTGAAGCAGGTAAAAATAGGCAGTAATGGATACCACGTGTCTATGCGCATAACATAATCCAAGATTATACTACTCAGCTGGTCAGAGGCAGGCCTCACAACCTCCGATCCACTGCACTGACCATTGCTTCTCCACGCCAATAAGAACCTTCTGTGTCTGAACCAGCCCTGCAGCTGGTGACATATTCAGATTCCTGAGTCCCAGTCAATACAGTTTTGATTTGGCAGGTTTGTGGTGAGTAATTTTCATGTTAACTAGAGCTTGAGAACCACTGCTATGGAAGTGGCTTTATCAATAACCTTCGTGATCAGTGTATTGGCATCTAGCCTTTTAGGGACGAGTTTCAATCCACAGTTGCTTCCTTGTTCAATGATCTTGATATTTCTTCCCTCGTGGGAACCTCTACTATGTTCCATCTCTCCTTTGACCTTATTGTTATCTTAAATAGGCTGCTTGGGTACACATCTGCTAACTGTTTAAATAACGACTATTTCTTACAATCCATTGTGTTTTATGCGAATCAGCAAGCACTATGACCTTGCCACTGACCCGATGCATATAGGATTGAATCCCTCTGGTCCCCAGGAAATATTTTTGCTCTTTTTTTCATTTATTCATTCTCCATTTTGTTTCAAATGGGGTTATAAACTTACATAAAATACAGGGAGACAGCATTTGTTAAAAATGATAAGGTATTGTATGACTCTGTGTATATGAGGTACCCAGAAGAGTCAAATTCATAGAGACAGAAAGAAGAGTGGTTGCCAGGGGCTGTGGGATTAGGGAGTTATTATGTAATGAGTACAGAGTTTCAGTTTTTGCAAGATGAAAAGAGTTCTAGAGATGGATGGTGGTGATGTACTTAATACCATGGAATTGTACATTTAAAAATGGTTGGTATGGTGAACTTTATATCATATTCACTTTTCCACAGTTTGAACATAAATCGAGAAGGAAGAAGCAAGGAAAATAATATGGAGACTAAATGGAGCCGGGAGAGAGATTGGGAACTATCCCATCATAGTGCCCCCCATGCCCTGCTGTAACTGAGCCACCCATGCAATTCTCAAGTTTTTCAGCAAATGGAAAAAGAGAACCCCCGTGAGTGATACCATCTAGAGTCCATTAGAAAAAACCAAGTTCAAGAAAACCTCAACTGTCCTTGGTTCTCAAACCAGACAATGATTTCCCTCTAGGACTTTGTAGAGTGAGTTTCATGAGGCAGCATCTTGTATAGGCTGTTCTGCTGCCATTCCTTTCTCTCCTCGCCAAGGAGTTATTATCCTTTATTTGCCACTTGACTGTGTTTGAAGCAATGATGAGATTTGGTGACTTTTATCAACTGGTCTATTATCTCCTTTTGGGCATGAGCCACACACAACAAAAGGGAATGTTTATTAGAAATAACATGCCAGACTAATTTGTTTTGATTGCAAAGATTTATAAGAGCAGAGAGTGATAGGTTAGTGTGATGTAACGGATGTTCTGTAGTGCTGTGACATTTAATTCAGTCCCTCCTGAGCATTCACTTGCAAGACTAATTCCTGTGGGTGTGGACACGAGCAAATTTTTCAAGGGGTCAGAAAACTGTAACAAGACCTAATGATAAATGACACCATATCCCTGTTGAGTGGAACAAAAGTGTCTGGAGGATTGCCTTAAGCATCGTTACTCATGCCAGCCTGATTTTACATCTTCATTAATAATCTTCCCGAAGACAGGATAAAAGGATACTTGGGAAATTTGCTGGTGAAACCATATTTGGAGTTGAGCTCTGGGAAAGTGGAAGGAAACTGAGCGAGCCTGGACCCTGGCACAGAATAAAAGACAATAGAATACGTGATTACAAACACAAATTTTCATGGAGGAGTCATTATAAATAAAAGCATGTTTTGGCCAGAACTGTGTTGGAAGGAGGGGTAGTTCTGTGGATTCCAGAGAATAAGAAAAGAAAATCGAGGAGATGAACATTTACGAAGCACCTACTCTCTGCCAGGCATCTATATGATCTCATTCAATCCTCACATAACTCTCTACTATTTTTATCATTAAGTCACAGATACTAAAATTTCAGGTCTCTCTGTAGGGCTGCACAGTTAGTGAGTGGTTGAGGAAGGCCTTAAACCCAGGCCTGCCAGTTCTCAAGGCCGAAGCTTTGCACACACCCCTTGCTGCCTCCCAAGAATTTCCTCTGTCTGGCCACATCCAAGCATTCAGAAGCCTGACCTTTATAAACCGATGAATGCCTGCAGTTATGCTTAATTTTCCAGAAATTACCTACTTTAAAAGTCTATGGTTAATTGTTTTAATGAGACGTTAGTTTCTAACCCCACATTGGAATCTTTGCATTTACCTTTAAATTTGATTTCACTGCAAAAAATCTTGTAGTTGGAATGTTAGGAGTTGAGTAGATTTAGGTTGTGTTGGGGAAGAACTAATCTCTCATCGGCTTTTAGCCCGCACATCCAATTAGACCTGTTGGTTCTTCCAACATGGCGATGCTTATGCCATCTCTTCCCTTCATTCAAGTGACCCTATTTCCATGCTTTAGTATCCTTCTTAATTCTAACCTCCTGTAATCCATCCTCCCTACAGTGGCCAGAATGTGACTTGTTCACCTGACAGTTTTTTTTAACCATCTCCTTAATCATTGGTTGAAATATAAACTAATATTTTTTGAGCACCTACTAATATGCCAGGTGCTATGGTGGGTACTAGGAATGGAAAGATTAATAAGACAAAATTGCTGCCCTCAATTCAAGGAGTTCATCTAAGTGAGTTCACCGAACTTCAGTATGATTATGCCATCTGCTTTCTCCCGTGCTCCAAACCCTACATGATTCTTTATCAGATAAATGAAGCCTAACTCCTTAGCTCAGTTTTCAGTGCTCTCAGAAAATTATCTCAACTGCCATCCTGTTCCTACACGTTTGAGACAAATGAATATCATTATCCCTCCTTTCCTATAAAGCTCTTATAGTCCAAATAAATGATGCCGCTTTCATAAGATGGTAACATATTGTTGACATAATTATTAAATTATTAATACATGACTGTCCTTTCAGTGTTCTTTTGTTAGTTTCATGTCTTCCAAGGTGGTTTATAATCCTCAAACACCTCTTTCTCTGTGTTTACTTATCAAACTATCACCTGTCTTTCAAAGTCCACTTCAAATACTCCATCCACAAAGCCATTTGGAATCATTCCAGTCAGAGGCAAACTTGGTTTGCCGAGTCCTGTAGCTCTTTCTTTTGGCATTACTCAGGTCCTGAGCCCCGGAGGACTCAGTGCCATTGATGTATGTGAGAGTTATTCATGCACTTACCAGATTATAAGCTACATATGAGTAGAAAACCTGTCTTGCTCTTTTTTTATCCACTCCACTCTAAGCCTTGCACAGAGAAAGTACTTTCTATTAATTTGCAAAATAAGTTGCTGAACAAATTATTTTATTCATTCAACAGATATATCGAGCACCTACTCTGTTCTAGGCACTGATTACATCAACAAACAAGACAGACAGGGCGCTGGTGGTGGCAGGAATGAGGAGAGACTGATAATAAACAATAAACATAATAAATACTTTAATTCTGAAAAAAATTGCATTCATCTCAAAAGATAGTAAATGCATGGAAAGAAGAAAAATAGAGCAGAATAGTGGGAATTTGAGAGCCTTTGGAAGTGGGGCTGCTAAGGTAGTTGGGTAAGAGGTAAGATTTGAACAAAGGCTTGAAGGGAGGAGGGAGTGTGAGAGAGGAAGTATCAGGATAAGAAGTTGGTGAGAAACCAGAACATGTACGGCCTTCTGGCTGTTAGAAAGGTTTTGATTTTACTCTGAGAGAAATAAGGAGCCACTGCAGGAATTTGGGAGGAAGGAAATGACAAAAGATTTTAATAAGATCACTGAGGCTGCTGTGTTGAAAGTGGACTTTGGTGGGAATAAGTGTAGAAGCAGGCGTAGGAAGCTATTTGGGGGTCAAAGCAGTCATCCAGGCAAGAGATGATGGAGGCCTGGGGAGCGAGGTGGAAGGGGTGAGAAGGGTTAATCTGGCTCTGTAAGGATGACTGCAATGTTTCTGGCCTGAGCAGCTGGAAGGATGGCATGCCCATCGCCTGTGATGGGCAGGTTGTAGATGGAGTGGATTTGTAGGACCTCAGTGTTGGACATGTTGAGTTCTAGATGTCTGTTGGACACATGGACATCATAGTGGAGATATCAAACAGCCAAAGCAGCATTAACAACAACAAAAGGAAAACAAAATAGTTGCATGGATGTTGTAGTAATTCACAGACTGGAGAGAGAAGGTCACATAAAGGGAAAGACCATGCTGATTAATCATTCTGATGGTTTCTGCTTTAACATTAAGCTTCAGGGGTAGCAGAGACTCCTGGGTGTTCATCCCCTCAATCTATTTTCCTTTTCTCGTTATTCACAGAGCTTCAGTTTTTAGAAGGTCTCATGGCTGGTTCAGAGAGAACATTTTCCAGCCTTCCTTTTAACTAGGTGGGATCAGTTGGCTGAATTCTGACTCATCAAATGTAAGCAGAAATGTTGTGTGGGATTTCTGGGAAGCCTGTTTAATGGGAACTGACTTCTCTGACAGAGGCCTCTTTTGTTTTTCCCATTCTTCCTTCTCACTGTCTGGAATGCAGAAGGAATAGCTAGAGCTCCAGCAGCTATCTTGGGTAATGAGGACAAGT